TTTTAATATTTAAATCTTTTTGAAACGAAAGTTGATAAAGTGGCGGAAATGAGGCGTTTTATAATAAAATTTTTAGCATATGTAGCATATGCTCATGCATTTGAAATTAACCTTAAATTATACGGTATGATGCAGTGTTAAGGATGGCACAGTGTTAAGAATAGCGCAGTGTTAAGAATGACAGTGTCAAATATAAAATATATTATAAATTATACTGTAATTTACTTAAAATGGAAATTGCAACATCACTTTGGCTTTGTCTTACTCTCCCTGCCCTATTAAATGACGTCTTTTCTGGCACTCCCCTAACCTAGGTTAAGCATTTTATTTTCTGAAATAGGAAAAAAATTGGAGCTCTTTTCATTACTACGATTACATTGCAAAAAAGCCACGTTTTTCTTAGTGTTACTTAATTACTAAAAAAAGATAAATTTATTGGATTTTCTTAGTGATCTGCAAAATTTCTCCCCACGTGATATATATATCGCCGGAGGGACGAAGTCCCTTGAAATATTTGCTTTACTAGTTTTATCTTTAATTTTCGTGAAAATTTTTTTTTATGCATCATATCACTTCACTTTCTCAAATATTCATGTCGTTCGAATTGCTAGAATGAAACCAGTATTAGGTCATTATGAAAGTTTATTGCTTGTGATTGATTTTGTTATAAAAGGATATTAATTATATCTATAACGTGGTTTATTTCCTTTTATAAGATTGTTTTCAATCGATTATATATAACAGATAAGTGGAGAGGATATATTTGCCTAACTCCAAAGTTAAGCGAAAAAAAATTCTACCTCTCAAATAACCAAATCTATAAATAGACTTGAACTTTCTCCAATAATTTTATTTTCCAAAAGCCGCTTAAACACACTAATAAAATTACCATGAACTCATATATTAGAGGAAACAACTTTGAAATTGAAACTTTAAGAGTTTTCATGAGTCATGACGTAGAAGTTTACAGAATAAGGTGATTATATCACTGAGTATTTGTTGAGTTGTTATGTATCTGAAGTTACGCTGTATATCGGAGGATCGAAAGCTCTTCGTGGGCACATCTTGCGAAAGTTTCCAGTCAGGTACAACTTGCTGTGAACGTTCGAACTCCGTTACCGAAAAATCTGCACTGGCTTAAGCCCTGGGTTTGTGATGAATAGGATACAAAACATCGAATTGAAAGCACATCGTGGCCGCAGTTACATGCAACTGTGAACGTTCTTTGGTTCTTGACGATAATGACACACACTCACTTTTTTTATTTTGATATTTCAGACCAAGACCAGGGGATGGTGGTGTGGATCTGTTCGGAAACTACGAAGGATTCTTGATCTTGGTTCAATGCAAAAATAGGAGGCGAAATATAGGTAATGTGTTGAATATATCAGTATATAAATCTTATTAATCGACGCTAATTTAATATTTATTGTAGGTCCCGAGATCCTACGTGACTTGGAAGGGGTTTTATCAAGGTACCACAATGATACTACAATTGGTATCCTTGTAGTCCCTTTCAAGGAAAATTATACCGCTGGAACTATAAGAAGAGCCAGAACATCAAGATATAACATCATACTTACGGATGTTAGAGATTTATATCTTGATCTTGTTTGGTTCGTTGAAGAACGACAGATCGATGATCTTGTTCGTTTCATTGAGGAACGAATTCGGCTTGTCGAAGAAAGATCAGTAAATGTTATCCGCCAGGAACTCATCGATATAAATTTGCGTCTTGAGAACGAAAGAGCTCGCAATTTCTTGAACTCTAATATTCTTTACATTATTATATTAATATTGTTATTATACATAATTTTTTTTAAATAGTTTTTATTATATTGAAGATGGTAGGTACATTTAAGTCGTTTTTAGAAAAATTATTTGTTAGGAATTAATAAGAATTATTCATTATTTATTCAATAGATTACCGGACATGAGAAAGTCCTAGTTTTAGTTTTTGTTTAAGCTCGTGAGCTAGTTGGTCTTTATTCATGCTTCTCTCTTTTTTTTCTAATTCTTGGACTTTGGCTTTGAGTTCGTTGATTTGTCTTTGCTCGGCTCCGTTCTTTTTTTATAAAATCATTTGTTTAGTTCTTAGCTTTATATTATAATTATGATGATATAAAAAGTGGTGAATCCATCATGGGTACTTTATCTTCCGCTCCTAATATCGAGACTTGGACATATGTTCATTACATTTTACAAAAAAAGGTTTAACCGATGGAAGAAATCATAGCTTTGAACCTTTGTTTTTCTCTAGTTTTGTCCCTAGGTTTGTCCTTATGTTTGTCTTTAGGTTTGTCCTTAAGT